TGTGCCTTCTCCTGCCAGAAAGGGTTTGTGCTGATGGGGCCAGAAAGTCGCAAGTGCACAGCCATGGGGACCTGGACTGGGGACACCCCACAATGCAAAGGTAAATCTCATGATCTCACACCTGTCTGGGAGTGCTCTGTTGTAGCAGACTGCTTTCCCCAGTGCCTCAGTCTATGTCAGTTCATCCCCTGGCTTCCTAGCCCAAGTGTCCCTGTCTCACTACCATCAGTCCTGTCCTCTAATACTGCTGCTGTGCTTTATCTCCAGCCATCAGCTGCCCAGTGCTGGACCCCCCCAGCAGAGGCCAGCTGAGCTGCTCTCACATGCATGGGAACTTCACCTACAACTCCACGTGCACTTTTTCCTGTGAGGAGGGGTTTGTTCGGTTGGGAGCAGAGGTGCTCTGGTGTGAGGCCACAGGGAACTGGACCAGGCATCCTCCTGTCTGTGCAGGTATGGTGGGACCCCCCTGCTCCTCTAGCGCTGTGGGGGGTCCAGCTTTCTTGCAAGTGCATCTTGAATGTGGTGAGGGCGCTCCAGGGGCTGAGAAGTCCTGGCAGCTTTCTAACTTGGGGGTCTGTGGATCTGTTTCAGAGGATGGTGCCTTCTTAAAGCAAGTCCTGGCTTACAGCAGTGGCACAGCCCTGACAGTAGCTGGTCTTGTGCTCTCTGGGGGGCTCATTGCCATCCTTGCCAAGCGCCTCAGTGACAGAGGTATGGAAACACCTCCCACAGCCCACAATAGGTTTGTCTAGGGGCTCTCAGGCAAGGTGGTTACAGAGTCCCTGGGGAGGGTGGGATGATCAGAAGAGTTTAAAAGTGTGATTGCCTCAATCCAAGTGTCTTATTTGCTGCAAGTTGCATGGTTCCGTGGCAGTTTGTTGAGCTGAAAGTGTCAGCAGCCAGCTTTGGAGGACAGAGCCAGATAAACACCTTCACTGTGAAGAAGACAGGAAATGCTTCAGTCCCTCCCTGCTCCATCCCATACTTCTGCTCCAGCTTCTCATGATCTTCACTAAACATCTGTTTTTTTCTTTACTATCTGCTCTGTCCCCATGGATATTTCAACACCATTATCAGAGGAGAAGAAGAAGCTCCTGAACCCCACCAGGTGAGAACCATGCCCTGTGACTCTCACAGCCCAGTGGCCACAGTTATCACTCAGATCTGCCTGTGTGAGGCTGCTTTTATATGCAGTAGGAGCATCTTGAGGGCTTGACAGGGCTATGTTAACCTCTGCCCTTCACACACTCCTGCACTGTCCAAGGTGACACCCTTGTGTTTGCCCTGCAGTGACCTAGGATCACCAGGCATCTTCACCAACGCAGCGTATGATGCCAACCTGTGAGGTGAGTGCTGTCAAGACACTCACGGCACCCTGTTCAAAATTCACCTGAGCAGCCATCCTCCTGGTTGGAGTGCTCCCAGGTGGGGACACCCTTGGGGACCAAAGTGGATAACACCAGCTCCGCCTCTTCTGTGCTTCCAGCCTGCCCGTGACTGAACCCCACTGTGTCCCCCAGTGCTGCAGGCCCAGTGGGAGCTGCTGCTGGGGCCCAGAGGGACTCCATGCCTGGAGCTGCAGCCTGGACCAGCGCTGCCTGTGGAGACTGGACCCACACTGTATATACCGCCAGGAGGGGAAGCTGCCTCCAGGAAACGTGGCTGGAGACCTGTCTAGGGCCATGGGCCGCTGTCTCACGTGGGCAGCCTGCTGCTCAACCCGTGGACATTCCCTGTGAATTTGGACATTCCTCCTCGGCTGCCCCAGGGATGGGCTTGTGTCAGCAGGGCCCAAATAAATGCCTGTGTCCAACCAGTGACTCTGTGTGCTTGGGAGGGGGGGAAGGTCTCCATCAAATAGTGTGGCCAACAGGACCAGGGAAGTGATTCTTCCCCTCTACTCGGTACTGCTGAGGCTGCACCTCAAGTGCTGTGTCCAGCTCTGGGCCCTTCAGTTCAGGAAGGACACTGAGGTGCTGGAGCAGGTCCAAAGAAGAGCAACAAGGCTGGTGAAGGGACTCGAGCACAAGTCCTATGAGGAGAGGCTGAGGGAGCTGGGGCTGTTCAGCCTGGAGAAGAGGAGGCTCAGGGGAGACCTCATCACTCTCTACAACTCCCTGAAAGGAGGTTGTAGCCAGCTGGGGATGGTCTCTTCTCCCGGGCAACTAGCGACAGGACGAGAGGACACAGTCTTAAGCTGTACCAGGAGAGGTTCGGGTTGGATATTAGGAGGAATTTCTTCACAGAAAAGGTGATTAGACATTGGAATAGACTGCAGCACAGGGTGGAGTCACCGCCCCTAGAGGTGTTTAAGGAAGGAAAGACTGCCTGTGGCACTCAGTGCCATGATGGTGTCGGGTCTCAGATCCTAATTGATTCTGCGACTCTGGGGAGGACAGTGAGCCGCGCCCCTGTGAGCTCCGTGCGGGCCCCGCCCCATCCCCGCCCCATCCCCGCCCCATCCCCGCCCCGCCGGGTGTCCGGCTGCGGCCGCCGTCGGGGGCGGTGCTGCCGGAAGCAGACGTGTGTTTCGGGAGGAAAGGGAAGCGATGGCGGCGGCCAAGGCCGAGTGGGAGCCGGCGGGGCTGCTGCCTGCCGCGGGGGGCGGCCTGGACTGGGGTGAGCGGGCTGGGGGGGCCGGGGCGGCGCGGGGTTCCTCGGCCGGGCCGGGCCGGCGCTGAGCCCCTTGTCTCTCCCGCAGAGGCGGTGCTGGGCGAGGAGCTGAGCGAGCTGCTGGGCGCCGCGGCCCCGAAGGACGAGCCCGACGTGAGTACCGGGAGGGGACGGGGGCGGTGGGGGCCGGGCTGCCCGTTCGGCCAAGGGGGTGACCCGCGGGGATCCCCCCGGGGCAGCCCGGCAGGAGACCGTGATTCCCCGGCCTTCACCCTGCGTGAGTCACGGGGATATCGATCGCTTAACAAGCTGTGGGTGTCAGGGCCGGAGTTTGAAGGTGTAGAGTCCAAGGCGAGAGCTGGAGGTGCCGTGCCCAGGAGGTGCCGTGCCCAGGAGGTGCCGTGCCCAGGAGGTGCCGTGCCCAGGAGGGGCGGTGCTGTCGCTGCCCAGGGAAGGTGAACCCCGCAGAGCAGCGCTGCGGGAGGGGAGAGGCGTGGGCGCGTTACACCTGCATCCACTGGGGCTGGGCTTTACCACCCTGCCTGTTAGATGGCTTCGTGTTTTCTTCTTTGCTGTAGGATTTTCTCCAAAAGCCTTTGCTTGCAACCTTATGCATTAGTCCCCGTGTATTTTCCTGTCCAGCTGCACATACCACTTTTTCTTTCCCGGGGCAACCTGCCTCGTGGATTCTCCATTCCATGTCGTTCCTCTTGCCTTCTCTGTGCTCACTGTGTCCTGACCCATCTCCAGCACAACCCCTGGGTTATCCAACGTAAATGTCAGGTACTAAGAGCCTTCCTACAGGTGTTGTAGAGCCACTCACTGGAGGAAACGTTTGAACTGCATGATTGTACAAGGGGAAGGTAGTGCCCGTCAGCAGGTTGGCATTAGTTGCCTGTGTAGAGGCTCTTGCTGCACAGCTTGGGCTGTGGGTTTTTGTCATTCTTCCTATCAATGTGCTCTGATGAGCTTTCTTTTCATTCTAACTTGTAAGTAGTAACATCTGTGCAGACTTTTTGAACCTCCTTTTAAGGCCAAGTTGAGAATGTAGGGAAAAGGTACACTTGCAGGATAGTTTTTAGTAAGAAAATCTTTGCTGTGTATTTGTGTGAGTTGGGTATGTCATGTTTGTGTTTTTCATGCAAGTGCTCCTAAAATACCACATTTGCCTAGAGAACTGAGACTTACAGATGCACAAGCACAAAAAAATGGAGCAAAACCCCCAATTGTTGTTTTAAAGGTCCCATGATAAATTATATGTATGAAGTGATTTTAACCTTTTTTTCTTCTTTGTTTGCTTTTATTTTTGTTGGAAAAGGAAATTGGGGTCTGTGGCTTTAGAAAATGATGATGTCAGTTTATTCAAATATAGGGAGACCTTATATATACTGTTCATCAAGTCTTAAGCAAATCAGTACTTGTGTCTCTTTTCCTTCTGGTAAACCGTCCCTAATGGTGCTTTTGTTTATAAGATGCTTTGAGATGTCATGATGGAAGGACATTAAATAAATTTTTCAAGGCAGACCTGTGTTTTGTTTGAGATGGTTCAACAAGTGGACTTAGAATTTTGGTTTAGAAACTACCAATAAGGGTATGATAATTAGTGATGGTCTTAAACTGACATGCTCCTTTCCTACAGGTCTGAGGTTTAAAATAAACCTTGTCTTGTATGTTCCAGTTGAGAATTTCTCCTTTAAGGACTTTTGTCTCTGCATGCCTTAAGGCAACTGAAGTGATAGTTGTATTGTTTTGTTTTGTTTTCTGGAGCTGTAAGAATGTGCACATAATGGTTGGTGGTGCCAATGTATCTTTCTTTTTGTCTTGTCTCTTTTTCTGAACTGTCATTTCAGGAAAATGATCTCTATAACTTTCATTTTGATTTGGATTTGATGTCTTGGGACTCAGACCTTTGGAATATTACAGGCCATGCTTATACAGGTAATTAATCTTCTGTATTTTGCAGGTGTGACTCTTACCCCTCTTACCCCTCTGCCCCACAAGGGTGAACTGTTACAACTTAGAGGTAACTTATGTGGAACTATTAACTTCCCTTCAGCTGTGTTATGAGGAGTTGTGCTGTGTAGGGCAGGTACAACTGGCAAGGACTGCCCTACAAGCTAAGCTGTTTAGTACCTTTAGTTTCACTATGTTTTCTACTGTGCTTTGCTTCAGGAATTAAATAGCTGGTGGAGAGCAGTGTGTTCTTTACTGATCTCTCCTTGCTAAAAACTTGTGCAGTAAAATTTCCTTATCTGCCTCTTGCAGATGACAGTGTGAAGACAGAACCCTTATCACCAGCCACTTCAAACTGTTCGGTCCCTTCTCCGTCGTCTGTGGACTCTCCAGTGCAGAATGTGCCTGTATGCAGAAACCTCCATGTAACACATATAGCAACAAAAGCCCAGTGACTTACTTCTCTGATCAAATTCATGGCATAAGAAGAAACACCTTATTTTTCCAACCCTTGCAAAAGCACCTTTCCTTCAATGGCATTTTCTTACCAATCTGTGACCCATTCGAATAAGAGCATGTTCAGTTCTGTTTCCTCAGTTATGTTTGTTAGCCTGGTTGCCAAACAAAATGCCTTCTGGAGGCTTCTGAGTCTAGCAGTTGCTGGCCTCTGCCTTGCATTGCTCTGCTGATGGGCAGAAGTACTTGTTGGGTTTTTTTAGTGGTACTTGGCGTTGACCCCAGGATAAAACTACAGAACAAAACCATTCTCCTGTTTGCTGCAGCAGCAACACAGAAGTGATGAAAAGCAGATATACTCCGAACTGCTAGTAGACACTTCTCTGTGTTTCTGAAGCATTAATCTCATGTATTTTCTGTCTGCAGGATGATGTGGACTTCAGCTGTAGCTCCCAGATGTCTCCCATCTCTCTCTACAGCAAGAGCTGCAGGAGCCCTGCATCCCCCGAAGGAGATGGGGGGAAGAAGCCTGCTGTCAGCATCTCTTCTCGATCTGGTATGAGAGATAGAGCTACTTTGATCCTGTAGATAGTATGTGCTTTACTTTGATCCCATAGATAGTATGTGCTTTACTTTGATCCTATAGCTAGTATGTGTGTTTTATATGAATGATTAACTAACAGACAGTAGATATCCTGTAATTTCTGACTTGAATTTTTTATCAGATATCTTTATTTTTAACAAATATTATAGATAGGTAAAATACCCCCATACCAAAAGCCATTTTATTATTGCTTGATTTCTTTATTTTATGCCTTCTGTTCTGACTTTCTTTCATTTTCTAGGAAATAATTCTGCGAGGAACCTGAAGAGGGGTAGTCAGACAGTGTCCAGGCCTTTGATACAACCCAAACCCCTTTTGCCTGCTGTGCCTGAAACTCAGGCTAACATTGGCGTCCCAGCTAAAACCATCATTATTCAGACTCTTCCCATGCTTGTACCACTGCCAAAGAATCAGCCAGTTGTTAACATTCAGCCAGCACCTCCTAAAGGTAGGTGAATTGTCCTGACTGAGCCAGGTCTTGGGGGTAACTTTGTCTGTTTGTGTTGGCTGATAGAATGAAGTGAGGTTTGGTGCATGAAAGGGAAGGGGTAGGAGAAAAAGCGGTCCTACATGTTTGGCTGAAAAAGCTTAAGGCTGAGAAGATGGCCTTACTCCTCTCATAGAGTCCTATGAGAAACAGCCCTTACCTGATTGTTATTTGGAAAGGAAGACACTGGATTATAATAATTCCATTATTTTGAATGGAAGACAGAGACTGTGCTGAGCTGTGGGGATAAAACTGCTGATTGGGAAAGATCTGTAGGGACCTCTGCTGTGCTCTGCTTGTGGTGCATAAGGTGATTATAGTGCTGTTCTGTTGTAACCAAAGGAAGGTCCAGCAGAATCAGGATGGCTTGAATGAAGCTGGAAAGCTTGGGGAAAGTGATAAAAGCTTTTTTTTTTTTTTTTCCCTCATGAAACTGCCACAGGATGGCAGGAACATGAGTTTATGGCTTTTTATCTCTCTAAACAGCATCAAATAGAATGTTGTGGAATCTGCAAAAAACTGAGAGCTGTGTCAGAGGTTAGAAAAGTTCCTTACAGCTGCAAGCTGATGTAAACAAGAGGCAAGTGATTTCCTGCCCCCTGATAATTCTTCATGCCTGCATAAGCCTAGGTCACAGTCAAAGCATAAGTAATTTCAAAATCCCTAGAGTTTTGTGCAATAAGGTTATTTGGGTGTTAATGTGATGATGAAGGTGTACTTGTGTTTGTAAAATGCCAGTGTGGGACTACTGAACGCATTTAACCCAAAATTCATTGTCAAATTACTTAAACGTTTTGTATCCCTCCAACATATGCTTTATTCAAGGTAATTTGTCATTAAGAAAAAAATCTAGTCATCCATGAACAATTCCTGAAGTTGCCCTGTAACCGATTTTTGAAGTAGCTTGAGCCTTCATTTCTGAACCCAAAGCCTTATTTCAGTCTCCAGCTGAGGCTGCGGGGACATTGCTTGCGTTGCAGGAATTGTCAGATGCAGTTGCTCGTTTCACCAGCTGATGGCCACAGTCCCTTGCGGTTGAATGCCCAGGCACTGAGGCGTGGAAGGAAAGGGAGACAAATTGTTAAGGGCATGTATCTAGAAATTATTGCAATAGTGAAAAATTTACCTTCGTTACTAATTGCTCTTCCATCAGGAGTCCAGCCAAATCTGGAGACACTGATGTTTGTTACAAAGTGCCTAAGATTGTTAAACTGCTTAAAACACAGGTCAGCACAGTCAGCGTGACCTAATTCTTATTCCTTCTGATGTTCCAGCTGATAAAATACCATCTGGAATAAGGAATGTTGGGGATAGGGAGTTTTTGGATGTAAGTATAGCACTGTGAAGATCAGCTTCTCCTTTTCCCTGAAGAAAAGTCAGGGCAGTAGTTTCTGTGAGACAGTATAAAGGAAATACTTTTGGGAAAGTATTTCCATGTGATGTTTAAGTGGTGATATGTTTAAAAATTCTATTGTACCACTTCCATAATGAAAACCATAAGGATCTTTTTTCATCCCCTGCATATGACAGGTTGGAGCTACCAGTTTGAAATATCCCATTATCTTCAGAGGAGCATGAGAAATCGTATTTTTACAGTCCCTTTTATAAAATCTTAAAGGAGAAAGCATGGTCTTAGAGCATCACATCCTTTATACATAAAAAAAAAAAGTTGAAATAGTCTCAAATTCACTGTTTAAGGTTCTTAAATAGGGTAGTACTAACTCATCGTGTCTTCAAGACTGTGTCTGCAAAAAAAAGGGAGCTCTAATCCTGCACCCCATACATAAAAGATCTTGGCACTAGGTATATTACTTCATTTTTTGCCTTCCAGAAGATTGGGTAAATGCTGTAATACGTTGTCGTGCGTTTTGGTTGGAATGCTGAGTTGGAATGTGCTGTTTCTGAAAGCTGGCGAGGTCATCCTGTTACAGAGGATTAGAGAGACGTTAATGTGTTTTCAGACAACAAAATATTACTCAAGCACCTGCTTGAGTTAAATGTAGTTGTTGGACTAAAATTTCTTGGACGTGACTGTTTTTAATTCCATTTCAAACTCTGTCAAAATTACCTCATTTTTTCTGCCTGCTTTTCTTTAAGCTCTGTTCAGCTTGTGCATAAACTTTCTTGCATAAAACATTTTTTAAAACAAATGGTCTTAGTGTGAATTGGAGCTTTAGCATAAGTTTTGAAAGTGTAACTTGCATTGTTCATCTTCTATCTCTGTGGTATTCTGTATCAGTCTGTGTAGTATGAGTCAATTCTGTGCAGTAAGTTTTCCATTGAATACAGCAATAAAGTATGAACAAAAGGGAGAAGGAGGATTGAGGAAAGCTGGCTAAGTTCTTTGAAAAAGTTGTCCAGAGTGCTTCAAGTGTTAGCGATACTGAAATGAGTAATGTTTATAATAAGTGTTGAATTTTATTAACTTTGAAGAGCTTTTGGGAGAGAGTTTGATTTATTGGATCCCTTTAATATACATAACTTTAGTTTGCGGGATGGATTAAGAATCCTGCAAACTTTTAAACTTTTTTTTTTTTCTGTTCCTATTCTGTGCAATATACTAGTGGATTTGAGATAAATTGTGCAGGGCAGGTGGGGGAGCAAGGCTTTCTACCTCCTCTATCACTGTGCCCCTACAAAGTGATGGAGTACAAATCCACTCCATAGGTGCTGAGCTCTGCTGTTTGTTCTTGTGTTCCAGGTCAATCAGTGGTGCTCCCCCAGCCCTCCGTGGTGCAGCTTCAGGCTTCTGGGGTGCTTCCTGCTTCCCAGCCAGTCATTGCTGTCACTGGAGGGACCACACCACTTCAAAACCACACGGTGAACGCATTGCCTCCAGCTGCTGGAAATGGCTCGACAAGTGGGAAAATACCAGTGACCAAGCCCTTGCTTCAAGGCACCACACCAGCAGTGGGGCTGGATGTAAGTGTGTGTGAGAGCTGATAACCAAGGCTTGGAAACAGCTCTCAGTTACCTATTGTATAATAGGTATTGTGGCATCTAATGGGATAACCAGATCCCTTCAGAGTCTCAGGGAAACTCTAATAGGATTTCTAACAGTAAACAGGGAGTCTGGCAGCTTGGCAGAGAACGGGGACGAGCAACTTGATATCTGCTGGCTTACCTGGACTTGCAGACCAGGGATGCAGGTGTAGCAAAAGACAGTGATGATACATTTTTTCCATCATTTTTCTTCTCAAGTACAAGCTCTCAAGGTCTCTTACCTACAGGAAGATATATCTGATTTTTGATTAGTGCCAAACCATTTTTCTAATCCATATAACAAAAACACTCCTTTTGAAATAGGTGAATTGGAAATGTCACTGCTTAGTTCTTTTTCCATCCCCCTTTATCTCCCCAGACTTTACTTATGATTTTTAGAAACTTCAGGTATTGAGTTTCATATGAGCCTAATCTCTTCAGGCTCCCTTTTGATCATATACTGTATGAGTAGAAAAGGTGTAAGCTCTCAACAATCCCTGTGCAAATAAAGAAGTTTTTCCATAGTAGCTCACAATAAGCAGTAGGTGTAAACAGAAATAGCTTTTGAGATGTGTGTGGGTTTTTTTAACTCTTTGAGCTTTGACATCTTAACTAGATAGAGAACTGGGTGTTAACTTGATTTAGTTCCTAGTAATTTGGAGCTGCTTTGGTAGCATTTTGTTGTCCAAAGAAGGCATAGTTGTGAAAAGTACCAAAGCTTCTTGATTGTGGCTTTTCAACTCTGAGTGTTGTTCTTCAGTGTCATTTTCTGAAAGCCACTGTGAGCTGAGGGTCCTATCACATCTCTCAGTGTAAGGGAGAAAACACTGGTGTCCATTCACTTGGAATTTTGCTGTATTAGCTTATTAGCAGTGCAGGTCACTGTATGTCAAAGGCATGTGCCTTCAGCTTCTTTGGAGGGATGTTGCTGTACAGTTTCCTCGTGTCTGAGAATTGCCACTCGTGCTTGATATTAAATTTTCCTCACTAATCGTGTTTGTGTGAGGGGTGTGTTTTATAATGAAAAATAACATGCTACAAATAATTCAGGAGACAGAGTGCGATGAAAACTTGATATTGAATTCACAAGAAGCTAACAAAGGTCTGACAGGAGACAGTTAAGAGCACTGCATTTTTAAGTAGTATTTGCCTGCTATACAAAGCCAAACTGAAGAGACCTGTCAGCAGTCATTTGATTTGCGATTCCCTGTAACCAGGACTAACATGGCACCTTGCCATTCTCTGAATGTAAGGGTTAATTGACAAAACCCGCTTACTGTCATTTTACTCTATGTACACACCCGTGACAGTCACTAGTCAAATGTGTAGCTGGGTAATGATCAGCTGTTTCAAAGGATGGTTGCATGGGTATTTCCACCCAAAGCTGTTTTAGGGCAGCAGTTTTAAGGCTTGTGAAATACTGCACATTGTACCTGTGTTTGTTGAAACATGAAGGAACAGTTGCAAATGCTCTCTGGCACATACGGTGAAAGAGGGCTTTGAGAAAGGACAAATGTTTTGGGATTCAGCTGGCGCCAGCAGGGTTAAAACATTTCGCGGCTGCCTCGGAGGCCATATGTGGCACTCAGAGCTGCACAGATGTAGCTGTCATTTGAGCTCTGTAACACGTGTTTTTGTTTGCTAATCTGAGCAGATGTTGCGGGATAAAAAGAAACACTGCAGGACTTTCTTTTGGGCTTAGGAGGGATAAACTGTTGGCTTAACACTCAGCCCTTGCAGTGGGTTATCCTGAGATGGGCCGATAGCAAGCTGTTGGCTTGAGGCCCCTCGTGGTGCGTGTCCTGGTGGCACACGTTTGTGCAGCCTGCCAGCCGTGGGGAAGTGCCAGGCTTTCTGTGCAGTCACTCCTTACTGGGAAACAACCTTCCACTGGGAAGTTCAACAAAAGAAACGCTACCTAAGCAAGCCACTCTTCCGGTTGAAGGAAAGAGGCTCTTAATGAACAGAAACAGATTTCCTTTCCTGTTGCAGTTAAATGATATGAGGGCATAAACTGTAGGTGTGTGAAGCAATTCGGTTTGTGTCCTTATAGGGCCTTTCTCTCGTGTTTCCACTTTGTAGTGAGAAAGGATTTAATTCTGCCTCCCAGTTAACTTGATAAAAAAATTTCAAAATCTAGAAAAAATTAGATTATGTAAAATTCCTTCAGCATAGGTGTGGATTTCTATTGAAACATTTTTCTCTGCTGTACATTGTGTAATATTCACAATAAACTCAAGAAAACCCAGAACTTCCATAAGAACGGACAAAAAACTTGTATAGGTTTTGCATTCCTGCATTTGAGATGCGTCATTAAAGACAGCAGCTTTTGTAAGCTGAGTTAAGAAGCCAGCCAATGCAAACTTGAAATGATTTGTACTTTCAGCTCTTCATTAACTTTCCCAGTGTTTGTACAGAAAACTCTTCGGAGTGTGAGGGATGTTCTTACTGCCTTGTGCTAAAAGTACAGCTTGTGTTGGAATGGAGGTTAAATTTTGCTCATAATTGAGTTTTCTTTGGAAGTAAATTGAGGTAGCAGTGTTTGTTCTTTTTTCCTAAAGTGCATAACTCTTCATAAGACCTCTGAAGATAGAGGACAATCTGAATCTAGTTGTCCTGTTCAAAGCAAGGGTTTGCAGTGAACCTTTCAGTTCTCCGTATTTACAACATTCTTATGTGCTAGTGGTGGTGTAGTTTTTAAAGCTAGGAAGCAGAAATTGCATCACTGATTACTGTTTGATGTTAAGGCGTATGTTTTCCCTCTATGGTCTGTGTTTCCTGAGGACCAGAAGTTACTATTTTGAGTGGAAAATTAATACAATACAACTTAAAAAGTGGAAGGCTGCAAAAGAAGTTAGCAGGGGTGTTTGCTGCGTTTAATCTTGGTTCAGGACTTGCTCAAGCAGGCTGATTTTATAAATTAGTTCCTCTCTCTTCTGATTATCAAAGTGCTCAAGCAGGGAGCATGTTTATTTTGATGCCAGGCCAGCTGTGTAGTGCTTATTGCTATACTGCTTCCACGTTCAAACATTCTTGCACCATTTCACTCACTCAACTCTTTTCATTTCCTGCATCAGATTTAGGTGGGATTGGGTGTGTAGTTGAGGCTTATTTCCCAGGAAAAGCCAGACAAGAGCTAGAAGGTTGACAGAAGGCCTTAAATTTTTTAGGGATTGTAAATTAAAACAAATTAACTCAAGGATGCAAATACTGGGTTTCATGTAAGCAAGCTTAAGAAATGAGTCAAAATGAAACTGGTGTGGCATAGACCGAAATGCAGTTATTGCTCAGAGCACCTTGGATCGGGCTGGGTAGAGCTGCTGTTCCTCCAGCATCTGGAGGACAGTGAGCAAAGGAGGGCAGTCTAGATGAGATGAACAGTGAGCAAAGGAGGGCAGTCTAGATGAGATGAACAGTGAGCAAAGGAGGGCAGTCCAGATGAACACCCTGTGAAATGTAGCTGGCAGTGTCTGGAACAGTGACAGATGTACCTCAGATGTACTCTTTGTGTACAGGCACTGCACTGGTGCTAACACCATGTTTTCTGCAGGGAAGCGCGTTGGTTTGCCAGACACTTAATTAAAAGTTATCCAGTAATGAATAATCCTAAGCACGTCTGCAAACAAGAGTGGATGTAAACAATTTGATCTTCTCTGTTTGACTTCATGATGCAAAACCTCTTTTCAAAAAGAGGAGTGTAACTACTTGCTTGGAATATCTCACAACTCGAGCCAAAGCTGCTGCATGAACTCATTCCTTATTATTTCATCTGTGTACAGTTTAAGTGATCCTGGCCCCAGATTGGTGTGTTCTATACACTGCAGTTCTTGGCTAGCCCAAATGGGGTTTTTTTGTCCAGTTTTTATATGTCTGCAGAAGTTTTTTTTATGTTGAATGTTGTAGTACTTGAAAAGTTCAAGACAAAGCTTAGTGTTAATGAAAATATGTTAAAATCTTTTCATTCTCCACTCTGCTAAAGAGAGATATTGGAGTAAGTACAAACAGCTACACTTGCACAGACTTTTGTTGGTGGCAGCAGACTAGACATATAATAAATGGTCTTTCTAAAAAGCAATTAGACCAACATGGGGGCAACCCAGAATGTTAATGCACTGTAACGTGTTTTCTTAGTTTTTGTCACCAGCCTGCAGCATGATGAAGAAGAATGTCATCTTCAAACAGCCTGTAGCCACTTTTTTTTTGCAGACACCAAAGCCCTAGAGCAACATATTGTCTGTGTGCAGGTATATACAAGGAGGGAGTTGGAAAGCTGTGGTTAAGGTTCTTTACAAAGCCAGGCCTTAGCCAGAGCACACTGTCTGAGTTAGTTAATGTTAGTATTCTGTGATTTGTTATTTTTTCCCTAGAATAATACTTCTGGAATAGTTCTCATCTGTTTTTCTTTAACTTTCCTTCTCTGATAAGTACGGGTCACTCCCGTGCGTGTGTTGGCAGCTACTGGAGGATATTCAGGTCTGTGTAAGATAGAGCATTTGATTATCTTTCAGAGTATTGTCATTAAGGCACGTCCAGTTGTAGCTTAATAATGAGATGGAAGTTCTTCTGTTCTTAATGAAAACAGAGTTGCTGTTGCTAATCTGTGAGGGAGAGGAAATCAACAGAGTAGTGTTTAAACTTAATATTTCAAGTAGTTTTGTACAGTTCTGCAGTATCCATCGTTGTTATCCTTGTCAGCAGCAAGATGCTTTCAGTCTGGGTCATCCCACTCAGTGCAAACCACAGAATGAGTAAGTGGTAAAAGACGATGGAGAAAAATCAGCCACCAGGACTGTTGGAGGATGGGGAGGGGTTACTTTGAACTGTCCCAGTCTGGACTTGCAGACTGAATGCCTGCTAGTGGTTAGAGGGAATTATGTGCTCTCCTGGAGTATATTTGCTAGTTGAACTTCATCCTGAAGGAATCCAGTTTGTGTGCTCTTTCAGAGACTGTGCTGTCGTGTGAACCAAAGCACATTAAGTGGGTCAATCAGGAAATGTGCATCAAAGCCACACTCCTGATCTGAATTAAAATGTTAGTATAGATGCACCCAGAGACTGCATTTAAACTGCCACGTAAGTGCTTGATACACGTAGAATGTGCAATCTGAGGCCAGCAACAGTATTCAAAAGCTCAAAAACTATATAGCATAGCTGGAAAAGGTACATAAGCAGGTGTAATCAGTGTGGAAATGGTTTCCATGCAGAATAGACGGTAAAACTGTAGAACTTCCCTGTTAAGAAAGGAGGTGACTGATTGTAGCCTATAAAATGGTGCATGATAAAGTGAAGGTGAACGACATTCTTGCTGTCTTGCAGACCTGAAGATACCTATTTTCTGTCTTTGTGATTTGATTGATCAAACTGCTGCTCAAGTATACATTTTGTGTGCCCTATACATAGGAGGTTGAGAATGCAGGAAAAAGCAGGCAGTGCAGGGCCCCTTTTTTTCATTATCCCTGAGCTACGACTGAGAGGTGTACCACGTGCTGAACATTTCGGCTCATTGGAAGCACAGTGTGAGAAACCATCTGTGCAGACTTTTGACAAAGTGGAGAAGCAGAAATTATGCATGAAACAGAGGCACTTTTAAACTTGTGAATTGTTAACAGGCCTGTGTATCGTCCGTTCAGGTCAATGTCTTGAGACGGCAGCAGCGCATGATCAAAAACCGTGAGTCGGCCTTTCAGTCACGCAAGAAGAAGAAAGAATACATGTTGGGACTGGAGGCCAGGCTGGAGGCAGCCTTGCTGGAGAATGAGAAACTCAAGAAAGAAAACAGCACACTGAAGAGGCAGCTGGATGAAGTAGTATTAGAGGTAAGAGATTGTGATGAAAGTCTGACTTTATATCGAGACACTTGTTCAGGTGGAAGGCGCTAGACCAGAATCGTGGAAATGTTGTCTGGAAGACCTTTGAGGATTTCTAGACCAACCTCCCACTCCAGACATGGCTTTCACCAGCTCTGAGTCAGGACACCTGTCACATTATCTGGTTGATTTTTAATTCTTAACTCCATGATGCTTCTTAAGATTTCACTGAGAAGATAGACGGGGTAGAAGCTGAATATAATGTACAAACAAAAGTTTTATTTTTAAGTAGTCCTGGCATGTATTCATACATAATTAGGCAAATATAAATCTAAAAAGCAAGTATCATTTGGTGTATTTAGCTTCTGACATACATTTGCATATCTGTGCCCTTCTTCTATTGCACGTCTTCTGATTTTTTCCTGTCTAGAACCAGAAGCTCAAAGTATCATCTCCAAAGAGAAGGACCCTGTGTGTGATGGTGATACTGGCTTTTATAATGCTCAATTATGGTCCACTGAGGTAAGCTGCTTAGAAATTCCTCTTTACATAGCAAGTTTTCTGTTCTGCAGATTTTGTTTGAATCATTAATACAGGCAGCAGTTTGTTCATTTCAAAGACTGGAGCTTGAAGTCTGACTTCTGTCCTTTATTTTTCTCCTGCTTAATGGAAGATGTATCTCTATAATGGTTCTTCTTTTGGACTCCTTCTGGCAACAAGAGCTAGATCTTGTACTTTTAATTTCTCTCTGCTTGGCATTTTGTTAATCAATGCAGCCCACAGCAGTTTGTCTGCTTGATTTATATCTGAAGAGATTAAGAACTGTGTTTAGAATCCTTTTAGGAAAAAAAGTTACAGACTTCGAGAGCTCATCTGGTTGTTTATACCTGTGCTCATTTCAGTACCTGTCAGTTGAAACTGCATTAGTATCCAGTGAGGAAATCCCTCTGTATGTTCCAGTGTTTTGCAGTCCTGACCTTTAGATGTGTCTAGCTGCAATCTCCCTTGTTAGTATGAGCCCTGCCTTACTTGTCTTCTAGATTTGGGGAAGAGGTTTTTCCCTCTCCTTGATTAGTTGAAGTGATAGTCAAAAACGTCTCATTTGAACTGTTATCAGTGGGGCATAGGAACCAGAGAGCAGGAGGGAAATGCTGCATTACTTCCCAGACACTTTAAAAAAGATCTGCAGAAGAAAGGAGAACAAAAAGCAGTATTTCTTGCACATACTTGTTTATTTAATTTGACTTTGGAACGTAAAGGCTTCTTATATGAAGCAGTTCGCTTTTTCAAAAGGGGATAATGTTTCAGTAGATTCTGAGTCAGCAGTCTCCACTTGTCCTCAAAACCCCAGTCAAAGTAAAGGAATGGACTGGGATAAATATGGAGGAAGACTTTATTTCTAACTGTGATAAATTTTTAGTGTTGGTGTTTGTATTTTTAATAATATTAGCAAATCCGCTAAAGCTGAAATTACTTTTGAAGTATTTGCACTTATTGCAAATACTGTGTATCTCAGGCAGTGAAATATAGCTGATAATTTTACTTTGATATGGATAGGGTAGACAATTTCTTAATGCATTTAGGGTCTGTATTATGATGTTTGACTACCAGGCAGAAAAATCAGCTTCCAGAGATGAAGTGATTGATTTTACATCCCATCTGCATTTCAAATGTTACCACTTGCTTGAGAGAGACACTTGGTGAGAACTACTAGAATTAGTCATCTTTCTGAAGCTGAGGGAAATTCTAGTTGTCTCTGCATTACAGTGAGGTGATGGAATGCATGAAACTCTTGTTAGTGATAAAAGGCTTGGGAACATGGAGAGATGGATGAGAAGTCTTTTACCACAGTGCTCTAAAGCTCCTGTGGCAGCTTCTCTACCCCCAGGAATGAGTAAGCTGTTGAGTTTGATGGCAAGGCACTTCTGTCAAAGGAGGCTGAAAGGTCAGCTTGTGTTCATATCTTTGCAACAGTCAGTAACTATAGAAATGTGAGAGGGTTAACTTCTTGACATGTTTGACGTTTAATAAAGTAGATAAAGCAAAAAAGAAATCCTTGGATGTCTGGCTGTTCCTGGCCAGTGCAGTAGCTGAGCATGCCAGTGTGACTGCTGTGCCTCAACCAGGTGGTTTGCATCAGTACTGGATTTAGGCAGTGAAGAGAAACGTATTTGCAAACTTGCCTTTTTTTTTTTCTCCCTAGCAGAATAAATGCTTTGCACTGCAATTAAAATCCTAGACTTTATCAAGGTGGTGTGAATGTTGATTGTGCAATACTCTTTGGAAGACCCAGAATGTGAGCTGTACAAACCATTTCTTTAGATTTCACTCCTCCCATACATGTTTTTTTTCCTTTTATAAAGGTGTCACTGAATGGTAGCTCCACAAATGTGATAGTCAGGATTGCTCTTCTGCTTAGCCCTTAGCAAGAGGAGCTTCCAGTGTATGTGCTGTTTTTCAGCACCTGCAATTTCTTACAGAAATAAGTAATTTTTTGTTATAATATCCATGCTAGCTTATAGTTCAGCAAAAGTACTCTTTTCCCCCAAGTTAGCTAACTGTGGAATACCTAATTTCTGTGCAGTGATCAGCTGGAGATAAATATGTTTTGAAACCTTGTGACAGTGTTGCCATTTCTTCTGTGTTGGAAATCATTTAACTTGCACACCTGTGTGGAGGTGTGCCAGCATTCAGGCTCAGGATGTTTTGATTCAGGCATATTAGCAGTGAATAATTATTCAAAACCAGTGAACCATTGCAAAGGGAGAGTGACATCCAAAAAAAAGCAAAATCATGGGAAATTCACCCCCTAAATTCTAGAGCAGACTTTGGAATTCCCTTAGCTGTCTTTATTGTGAGACGCTTCTCAGGTTCTTAATTGGAAGTGATAGGATTCTTTGAAGACTAGAGGTAAAACAGAAGGTCAGATATATAGATTTTCTCTTTAGTTACCTATTTCTGTCAGGTCAGAGAAAAGGAAGCAGTTGGATTGTTTTGGGACAGGAATGTGAAGCTGAAGAACAGACAGTCCTGCAAACCCTCCATGGCCTGCAGTGGGTCGGTGGAGGTGCAGTGTGTGGACACTCAGCATCCCACAAAAAGTCCCATCCGGATGATTGGCTGTGTAGTTAGTTCTGTGTTTTCCTCTGCATTAATGGATGTGTGTTGCACTAATACTGGCTCACACATAATTTTTTTAGATTGGTCTTAAATCTTGTTGACTGTGTATTTGAGTGGTGAGATGTTTGTGATGTTTCATGGAGGACTCTGAGACTGCTGTTCTGCTGGTTTAGGATTATGGGAAGCAGTCCAGGATGTGGCAGCCCTTGGCAAACAAGTTTAGCAGATAAAATTATTCTGCTGCCACATTTTTTCATGCTGACAAATATGTGTATGGGTAATCTGTAATGCTGAATTTGGGAATATGGGAGTGGGGCTGAAAGTCTGGTAGGGAAGCTGGCCTGTTGACACAAGAAATCTGTTGGAAAATACTGGAGGAAGAGTCTAGTCCAGTCTGCTTAGTTGCCAACAAGCTTTTAAGAACATCCTTCAGTCTTGGACACGGCACCATGTTATCTCTAAGAAATGAATGTAAGTCTAATTAAATATAAATTGAATATCAGTGTGAATTGGGGATGTGAAAGTGGCTTGTATGGAGTTAGTGGTAACTCTGCATTAGGTTGCACTGTGTTACTAAACTCTGTTGGGTTTGTTGATACTTTATATAGAAAACAGAAACTTTCAGTTATTAAAAGCAGAAGTAATTTAGCAGGAATTGTATTAGTGTAAGTTTCTATTTTATCTGTTTGTTTTACACTAAAAGAAAGGCGCCCAGGAATTTCCCATCTGTGTGTCAGTGAACTATTCTGTAATCTTTGTGAATTATTTGGGTTTGGACTTAACATGTATGAAAACCTCCTTTTATTATTATTTAAGAATGATTGGTGAGGTGTATGAAGGGAAAAGGGTATGTTTTGATCCAGCTCCTTGCAGAGGTCACCCCCTTGCCCCAGTCTTGCATACCATGAGGTGCAAGACAGGAATTGGCAATCCGGGGTGTTTGCAGGAGAGGCAGTGAGCACACAGACCTTGGCACAGGCAGGTTTGGGAGCTGGGGCCACAGCACCTGGAGCAAGGTATCTGTGGGATCTCCTGCCTTCCCATGTGCCTTCTGTGAGAGGCAGGCCAGTCAGTGCGACCGCATTCCCAGCTGGCTTCTGGCACTGAGAAACACCTAGTTTGCTGTGCATTTTTGTTTTACCACTTACTACATGGAATCTGAACATTTTCAAATTATTACAGTTCCTAGATGCTGTTTTTTTCCCCTTGTTTTATTTCCACATTTGTGTTAGACACTGCCTGTATAGTAACCAGATCTGAAAGTGTTAAACAAGCACGAACAAGGCTGAAACAAATGGAAACCATGTTCTAGTCTAAACAACCTGTGTATTTATTTTGGGAATATTTTTATTTTGATTCTATTCCCCATTTGAATATAAATTGTCTTGTTTGTTTGGGTTTTTTAATGCAAATCCTAAACCTGATAGTAACATTTGCAGGAAAATAACACAACCAATATATAAAAGTCGGGGAAGGGAGAAGGATCACAGAAGAAGCAAAAGATAATTTTTCTTCATATCTTCTTCTTGGGAGAGTAGCAGCAAAGCATGTAAGGCAGGTATTTGCTAGTGACCTTAGCATTATTTTTTGGCTATGAAAAAATGTTCAACTACTTATTTTTCCCCCATAATCAGTCTGCTCAAGCTTACGTGGTAGCTGTCATCTAGCAGCAGTCTTAGAGCATTTATTAAGATGTCAGCCAGCCAGAATGTGTCCTAAGTACCATTTCAGATATTTAGTGGACAGAAAACAAAATAAAATATGAAGTAGGAGAGAGGAAAGGCAAATTTGCAAAGAGATTGGAACAGGAGGTTTGAGAGGGTGGTGTGATATTTTTTTTTTATTTTTATTACTTTTTTGTTATCTTACAAGTTGGCCAAGATTGGAACCTCTTTCAAACTGAAAAACAGACTTGATGGTGTAAAGAAAATTTCTTAAGCTGTATTTGTGGTGGAGGATGACTGAGATGGTGATTGATGGAGCTCAGTAAAGCTGCTGCTGCTGCTTCAAAACCTCTTGTGTCCTGTTGACCTAAAGCAGCTGCGCTAGAATGGCTGGCCTTTTACAGAGACTTCACTGCAGCTCCTCTCTAGGGTGTTCTCATGGGTTTTCCTCTGCTTTCCAGGACTATCCTGGAAATTGAATAATCTATTAAAAATTTAGATCCAGTGACCAATCTGCAAATAAAGACACTGGCCTGGCCAGCCGAGAAATGTCATTTGTCTGCTATTGTCATGGACTACAGCAAATGAAGAAGCAGTGATTTTTTGACTCCTGAAAGACTTCAGGGTGTGTCTCATTCCTTAAATTGGTAGCACAAACAGGAAAAAAAAACCCCACCAAAAACAGAAGTGGTAAGATTAATCATCTTTTACTAAAAATGAAGAAATTGCCCAAGGATT